ACAGCGTCTCTTTAGTGCCTCCTCCTCTCTCCAATGCCACCACCTTGGCACATGCCCTTAGCACTCCTCTTGGCCCCCTATCATAAGTTCCTCATGGGTCTTCCAGGTTCCAGTATTTTCCCATTTGCATCCATTTTTCAACTTTTCATAAGAAGTACCACCTTTCTCAAGTATCATCCTAATCTCATCATTCATCCACCTAAAGCAAATGAATGTTACATTCTCTAAAGCAGTGTTTTTGTTTGTTTATTATTTTTTCCCCTGGACCTTTGAAAGTTCTGCACCTTCACCTTAGCAAACTGAAGGCAAGACCGTAACTCAACCCGTTGCATACACACTTGGGGGCTCCGCTCCCTTTGAAGCCCATCCCATGGATGCCTAGGGATTCATGGAACCCACGAAGCCCTCAGACTCCTTCGTTCTTTACACAAGGCCCTCGCCTTATTTCCCACACATCCCACCACACACCCACCACCGTCACAGGGGACCACTCTCCATTCCTGGAACACAGCCTCATGTGCTCTGACACCATTCCCCTGGCCCACTTCCAGTGGCCTCTCTCTATGAAATGTTCTCTATCTCCCTTTCCTCACATAATAATCCTTTGGTAGCAGTCAGCACACTGCCTTTCTCTGAGTACATTCTCTGCCCTAGCTGGTGCACACGAGGTCACATTTAGCTTTATTTCTCCTTCTGTACCTATGAACAGCAGAGCCTGTTGCATGTGCAGCGGCTGTTCAACAATTGCTTGTTTAAAGTGGCTCGCATCTCTCCTGTCTACAATAACTATATACACGATGGTTTGTTACATTAACTATTATTTGAGCTTTCCTGAAGTTGATCTAACCTTTTCCCTCTTTGCCCATTTTCATTTGAATTGTTTAAACTCATCTCAAAAAGTCCTTGTAGCTTTTGTTATGTTGAAAAGGCTAGCAACTATAGAAGTTTAATCCATAAAAGGATTAATCCATAAAAGGAGCTATTCCACAAACAGTAAGGACAGAAAATAAAAGCCACTGCAAATGTATTCCACTGGAATAGGAATTAAAAGATAGGAAAACTGCAGGTAAGTCGATCTTCATTTTAATGCAAAGTGCACAACTGATATTTTCCATCTCTGCCTCACCCAGAAAAAGCAAAACATCCATGCTAAGCATTCACTGCCTGTTAGCTCTAAATAAAGTGAAATTTCTATTTCACTTTGTGAGCACAGAGTTTCACATAAATTTAATAAAACAAAAAGTGTATTTGCCATCTAGAGAATCTATGAGTACTAACAGTAACAAAAAAGTATTCACTCAGATTGTATAAATAATCACATTAAAATAGATTGTATGGTGTAACTGACTGAACAAAAAATATTGCTAATCTCCGTGAAGTCAATTTTATCTGAATTCCTATTGGAAATTTCAGATTTTATCTTTATGCTAATCCAGTGCTAGTGGTCTCATTGCTACACTAGAGAAAAATAAAAAAGAAGTTACAGTTAGATCATCAAACACACCAGTTTTAAGCCTTAACTTCACTTATGGTGATTGTAAGAAAATGAAGTATCATTCACGCTTGAATGGTTTTCATCTAAGTAGATCTCATTCTTACGCAGAACTTCCTTTAACTATTATCTGGGGAGATACTGCATTCATTTATCTTGTGTGACATTATAATAAGATTTTACACTCAGGAATTTTATTATGCTGGATCTATTGTCGATGGGAAATAACCTTGTTAATTAAAAAAAAATTAAGGATGCAGAGTTAACTATGAAACTCTAACTCTACACATTTCTCCTAGGTTTCTCAGGCCCTTGATCACTGAACAGCCCAATTATATCATTTAAAGAAGTGAGGAGAAGGAAAGGGAATATCAAATTAACTTCTGTTAGGCTTCAAGCACTGTGCTTCAATTTATCCTTGCAACACTGAAGTTGATATTGTAATCAAAGATTTTACACATAGGTAAACTGAGGCTCCACTTCGCAAAGATTCACACGACTAGTGAAGGGGTTCTCCTGGATGGCTCATGCAAGGCTCTCTTAGCAGAAGCCTCATTATGTTGTGCCCATGGCCCCTTTCTAAGGAGTTATCTGTCCATGGCCATATTTTCTACCAAATAACCCCATCACTCTGGCCACAGCTAACTGAACAAGTGATTGGTGCTGAACTCAAAGCTGGCTGCCCATGAGGAGGCCACCTGTGAAAAGGCGGCTGGCCAAACAAGTGTGACCCTCTGGTAGAGGAATGCAAGACTGAGAAAAGCAGAGAAAAGGCGCAGTAGCATCAAGAACATTCAGTGAAAAGGCAGTAAGGAGCAGCCAGGACACAATCTCTCAAGCACCGTAACAGAGGTACTTACAAGTTATGGGCCTGGAGGAGAGGGGTGCTACTAGGAAGGTCTGGCAGGCAGGTGCTTCTAGAGAGAGTTTAATTAGTACTCACAAAGCACTAATTAAGAAAATGGCAACTAAACAAAAAATGGAAAGATCTTCTAAAAACTATAAGCCCTTGAATATGCAAATTATGAAAGTGAAATTATTGTAATCAATATTTCAACAGAACATTACTCAGTGGTTTCACTTCTGCACAGAAAAACATTAATTTTTAGAAAACTAAGGCTGCAATAACAAAGTAAGGAGACAGTAAGATTAGAATCAACTGAGGATTTTTTTTTTTTTTAAACAGAAATACCCAGGCCCCATATCAGATCAATAAAGTCAGAAACTTAGGGGTCAGGCCCAAGAATTATAAAAGCTCCCCAGGCTATGTGCAACCAGAAATGAGATCCATTCACTACTCTAGATCAGTGGGTCTCAAAATGTGGCCCACGGATCACTAGTATCAGGGTCAGCTAGGAACCAGTTAGAAATTAAATCTCCACACCGGCTCAATCTGAAACTGACGGTAGGGCTCAGCAGTCTGTGTTTTATAGGACCACCTAGGTGATTGTGACACATGCCAAAGTTTGAGAACCACAGTCTTAGATGATATTAAAAGACAAATCTTTCTTTTTATTGTAAATACATATATAATATCTATGAACTACAAACTGAAAAGAATCCTACAAATAGGGCAGGCAAAGGCTAATTTCTTCAGTAAAGAAAACTCAGGTAAAGACACACAAAAACACACTTAGATACTGAGGAACATTAGAACACAATGATAAATAAGTAATTCAAAAAGATGTTTATTTATATTTTAATTATATAAAAATCAAGATATAAACTTAAATGTATAAAGTATATTTAAAGTGGAGGGAATAAAAAGGGAAAAAAATGCCAAAATAATAGCCATGTGGCTTATGAGTGATTATGTTTTTTTAATAGTGATAATGTGTTATCTTTATAATTTTGAAAATATATATGCTTAAAATACAGTATCTTGATCCCTATCTCATACTATACACAAAAGTTAAAAATGAAATTGTAAAATTATTAGAAGGAAATAAAGGAGAGCATTTTCATGGCATTGGGATACAGAAAGCTTTCTTAACACAAAAAAAGCAAAAACCTTAAAGTGACTGATACACTTGAAAGCATCATAATTTTAAACTGCTGTAAAATAAACTTCATAAACAAAATTTTAAAAAGCCCAGAGCCTGTGAAAGATATTACAACATATATAGCAGACAACAGGTCACTCCCAGAACATATATAAAAAACTCCCATTGATCAATACAAAAGTCTCATTAACCAATAAGGGAATGATAAAATATGTGACTGGGAGAAAATTCAAAATCACTCATAAACACATGACAAGTTACTTGAGCTGACCAGTTTTGAGGAAAGTAAAAGTTGAAACAATGAGATGTAATTTTTATCTATCATATTAGCAAAAATTTAGAAGTCCATCAATATCAAAGTGGGACCGGCCAGCATGGCTCAGTGGTTGAGCATCAACCCATGAACCAAGAGGTCACCGGTTCAATTCCCAGTCAGGGCACATGCCTGGGTTGTGGGCTCAGTCCCCAGTAGGGGGCGTGCCAGAGGCAGCTGATCAATGTTTCTCTCTATCCCTCTCCTCTCCCTTCCTCTCTCTCTAAAATTAATAAAAACATATTTCAAAAAATAAATCAAAGTGGTACTTTCATGCTTTGGTGCTGGGGATGTTAATTGGTACAGCTGCTTTGGCACACAACCAAGCCAGGCTACTCAGCAATCTCACTTCTGGGTATGAACCTTCAAGCATATACAACACACATGTGCACACAGAAATATGCACTCTGTTGTTCCTTATAGCATTGCTTTGTGAGAGCAAAAGCTGGAAACAACCTAAATTTTCAAGCTAAAAGGTAAATGAAATCTGGTACATTTATTCAAAGACATACTATACAATAGTTAAGGAAAATAAGAGAGATCTACATGGATCCACATGGATAGTTCTCAAAAATCGTTAAAAAAAGCAACTGACAGAATGAAATGTAATTTAAGATCATTTATATAAATTCTTAAAAACCTTTGAAACATTTTAATTTTCTATCAGCCATCTATCTTTATAAAAAGTCATTTTAGCCCTGGCTGGTGTGGCTCAGTTGGTTGGAGGTCATTCCATAAGCCAAAAAGGAGGGGGTTCGATTCCAGGTCAGGGCACGGACTAGGCTGCAGGTTCGATCACAGGTTGGTGGCACATACGGGAAGCAACCTGTAGATGTTTCTCTCACACAGTGATTTTTCTCTCTTTCTCTCTCCCTTCCTCTCTCTCTAAAACCAACAAACATATCCTTGGGTGAGGAGTTTAAAAAAGTAATTTTAAAATAAGCTGTAAGAATACACATCAAACCCACAATAGAGGTTACTTCTGGGTGAGGGATAAGCTTTTTCTTTCTCTTTTCAATCCCCCTCCCTCTCCAAAAAAATCCTTGGGGGGAAAAAAAAATCAAATATGCTACACAGTGTGAGCATTAGCACCCATAATAATGATCTGAGCCTGGTGTGCTCAAATCATGTGATTTTTATTACTTTATTATAATACAAGCAAACAGTTAAGTCAAAATTAGATGACACTTACGCATGTAAGGCAGTTTTTCTGGGCAGGGGAGGTATGGTGAATATGTGAAGTTTTCCGGAAGATATGTTGTTGTTTGAACAAGATAATCACTTGAATTATTGCCTTCAGGATAATCTTGGAGAGAGAGAAAAAAGTTAAAACCAAAAAAATTGCCTTTTGCTTTGCTTCTAGTATGAAATATGTCCCTGTTACTGTGAGAAGATCTGCAATACACAATCTACACAAATACTTATAAGGAATTACCTATAAAGGATTAGCAAAAAGCAAAATGCAGTTGCCATGGCTACTCTCCCATTTATCATTTACTGCTGCCAGAATGGACCTCTCAGCAAGATTTCCCAAGGGAACCCTAGGACAAGTCCAGAGAGCAGCCTGGCCTCACCCGTGCATACACACACAGCAGGCCCATTTGCAACCACATGAGAACACCTGCTCCCATTCCTCCCCTGGCTGACCCAGATCAAAAGGACATATGACAGTACACCAGGGACTCAGGGAATCCTCTCCACTACAACAGCAGGGTGTTCAGGACGACCACACAGACACAGCACTGCTGCTAGCATCCACAGAACACAGGGGTGGGTGGAATGCTTTCTCACCACCCCACACTTAGGAATCTGAAATTTACCCGCTCGACTTATTTCTGTAACACAGCTCATTTTAAATCTTTAAATTAGTCGTTTCCAACCCGTGGGCTGCACTCCCTGGGGAGCCTGGGAACTGTTATTACATTAGGTCCATTATCTTTAGATTCAGCCAGCTATAAAGCATAGAGGGAACTGGTTTAGATCCCCGAAGTCAAATGCTGAGTTCAAATCCTTGCTCCCTTAAATCTGTTGATGCTAGTTCTGTGACCCAACATACGGTCTATCCTTGAGAATATGTGCCCTGGAGAAGAGTGTATAATTGATGTTCTGGGATGAAAGGCTCTGTAAATGTCAAGGATGTCCATTTGGTCTAGCATATCATTTAAGGCCGACATTTCTTTATTGATTTTCTGTTTGGTTGATCTGTCTAGAGCTGTCAATGGAGCATTAAGGTCCTCAACTATGACTGTGTTTTTATCTTTTTCTCCCTTTAGTTCTGTGAGTAGATGCTTTATATATTTCAGTGCTCCCTGGTTGGATGCATATATATTAAGAAGTGTTTTTCTTGGGGGGGGAGGTGGCTTTTCACTTTATTTATTTTTGTTCAAAATATTACAGATGTCCCTTTTTCTCCCCAGTGACCTATTCCACCCCGCCCCACCCCCCTCTCCAGTCCCTCTCACCATGTTTTCTTGATGGAGTGCCCCCTTTATCATTATAAAGTGTTCATCTTTGTCTCTTATTATCTTTGTTGTCTTGACATCTATTTTGTCAGATATAAGTACGGCTACACCTGCTTTTCAGCGGATATAATTTGCTTGGAGAATCATTTTGTGGAAGGTGAAGGGGATCTTAACATATGGTGATGGGAGAAGATATGACTTTGGGTGGTGGGCATGCAGAGCAAAATACAGATCTTGTAACATAGAAACCCACACCTGAAACCCATGTTCATATCAACCATTGTCATCCTAATAAATTTAATATAAAGTGTTAAAAAAAAACAAAAACAAATCCTTGCTCCCAACACACACTAACCTTGTGGTCCAGGGTAAAATAATGTGGTTTCTCCTGTGTGCCCACCTCATGCAGTCATTTTCAGATTTCAATAAGATAAATATATCAAGTGCTAGAGCAATCCCTGGCCCATATACATATTCAATAACTGTAGCTGTGAGCAACTGGTTTAGAGATGAGCACCTGACCCAATCTGGGACAGTCAGAGCCTTAGGAGTTTTGTACGTGGAGCCAAAGAGATCACATTTCAGTCCCTTTCTGGAACAAAGGGTCTGCCTCCAGTTCCCTGCTATGTGAGAGGAAGTCGGTCTAAGAGGATGAGGCTAACATGCAGTGGGTAAAAGATGAGAGGTGGAAACAGCCCATGAAACTACTCTCTGACTCCTGGACCCACAGAAAATGAAGCTCTAGCAGACACTTCTGGAAAACGTGGAGAAGCTCTTTCAATCTTTAGTGATCTGCTCTGATGAGAGTAAGAGTCCTATCCAAACTGGCCTCCATGAAAAGAGATAGGAAAGAGAACAGGCACTTGACTTAAAAGAGAGGCCTGTCTGTCAGTGACCAGCAAGCGGAAAAGCCTGAAGGTCAAAATCATATACCTTGTTGAATGGTATACAAGCCAACCCCTCACTGTGGAAAAATGGTCGATTCCTGGAAACTAAGTATGAAGTACATATGTGAAAAGAGTCAAAGAAAACTAAACGCCTCTCTGTATACCTTTGCCTAACATAAATATTCATTTATCATCAAAATGGAATCACCAGGGATGCAGCCTGGGAGCCAGGATGGCACTCAGAGCAAAGAGACTCTGCCCACCTCCAGGTCCACTTGCTGGAAGGGGCCCTGCAGAGGCTGCTAAGCAGAGGTTTGTGGGGATCCGGCACCGAGGAAGAGACAGAAGCTGGAGCAGAAGGTCCATTTTAAAGGACTGCACGGAAATCCGTTAGGAACTTGGCGGGGCATCAGTAACTGTGTTGCCAGAAAACCTCAACATGACAAATAGGGACTGATGATGGTACAATAGGCTAAGGCCTATTCCACCAGGAATGGGAAGCCCCAATGAGAACATCTTCCCAGACGCTTTTCTCTGGAGAAGCCCTGGAAAACATCTGAGGAAAATCTTCCAAGCCAAAGGTGAGGGGGACTCAGGGGACAGTAACTGTTTTGTGTGCCCAGGGACAGACTAAAACCACAGAAACCCCTCTAGTAGCCCATAATCCCTGTGTCTCACCCATAGATAACTGAAAAATTTAAAGATGCTAAACATAAATAAGTATACAGAAGTCCAATAATGTTCTGATTCTTTCCTTAAGGTGCCTTTAAAAATATATCTAGACAGATACCAAATTTAAAGTTATATTCCAAAAATAATGCTCTCATTTTCTAGGGACTTTTGCTATGCTAGCTCATGCGTCTGCTACACACTACGCATCTGCAGGAGCCAAAAACAGAAGATAAATCAGGCTGTCCTTGGGAGTCCACTGCCTTTATGTGTTCCAAAGACTCATTTTCTTACCATCCTGAGGCAGATAACTATCACCATTCTCGTACAATCCTTAGCGTCATTAGTTAACTTTCAGCAAGAATATTTTCTTACTCTGCATAACTGATTCTCATCATTAATGCGTGGGACCCCTTCTCTTAGCTACATACTATGATTCTGCAAATCCACATCCAAGTCACAGAAAAAGTAAGCTCTCTAGACACTGCTGCAAAACAAACTGTTAACTCTAGCTCCCCCTGGACAGTCTGTTCGCAACAGGAGAGCCAGAGGATTATCTCACTTTTTATTTTAGTTGAGAGAATGACTGAATCTTTCACAAAATAACCCCTGCATCACTTTTATCAGTTTTTAAAGAACCACGTTTAAAAAAAACCTTAAAGACATGCAATGTCAGTTTATGCACGTCCTTTAAATACAAAGTTTTGGAGCTAAAAGTGTTTTTCTTGGCCACATTATAAGTGATCATCGGATCTCAACTCATTGCCAGGCTTATAGAAGTATCTCTGTGCTCCTTGAGCACTGAGTCCAGTGGCAGGTATGTCATTCCAGTGTGTTACGTATCCCCTGACTAGTACCCACTAGTCTGAATATCTTTTTTGAAATTAGATTGCCTCTAATTTAAAATATCTAATAAAATACCTATAACATAGTAGAAACTTACTGCAAATGAACACTTCACAACTGATAACAGGGCCAACAACAATTTAAGGTTTGGGGGATTGGCTGTAATAAACCCACAAAATCATTATTCCTACAAAACAGTTAGGTCCATCAGGCATAACCACTGCTTTCAAAATCAGGAGCAGTTTTAAGACGGTATGCATGATAAATGCATCTGAGACTATCCACCACAACTGCTCTAACGAGTAGACATTATTTCATCTAATGAATGGATGAACACACAGTGACTCCTGTGCCCTCTGCCTCCTTCCTCCCTTCCCGAGCCACACCCAGAGGAAGGGGAAAGACAGGATGAAAACTGCTGCACAGGTCCCCTCCCCAGCTCTCACTGGGAAAAGAACAGGACCCAAGGAGACCTCTCACAGACCTTGTTTTTCCTGCAAAAGGGCAGATGAAACCGGTAATAGAAACTCAATGAGAGTTCTAATCTGTTTACCACTAGCTCGTCACGTCAGCCCGGCAGTGTCTCAGGGCCTCAGGACACGCATCCATTACATGAGGAAGCGCGCCGGGTTCTTTCTAACAAACCTACCAGCTCTGACATTGCATGACCCTTATTATCTGCTCTGGTAATCATTCACTGAGTACATCTTGTTTTCTTTCTTCTTTTTTTTTCTTTAATTTATCTTTATTGTTGAAAGTATTGCAGATGTCCTCTTCGTCATTCGACTGACTCCACAGCTACAAGGCCAGGCACCATTTGATTATGAGAGTATGTGATTTCTTTACAAACATATTTTACATATAATCTATTTACATTTGATGCTTCAGAAAGTCAGGTACAGGGTTAAAAACGCCTCTTTGAAATCAAATGTACTTATAAATAACACAACTTACTTACCATTAAATGTTAATTTTTATTTTTTATAAGATATTTCCATTAACATATAACATTGTGTTGCTTTAAGGTGTACAACATAATGATTTGATATTTGTATATGTTGCAAAATGATTACCACAAGTTTAGTTACTGTCACCTGACATAGTTACAAATTTTTATCTGGTGATGAGAACTTTTAAGATCTAATGTCTAAGTATCACATTTTAAATGAGCCAAACATGTTAATCAATTCTCCCCTGGAATTCAGTTACCTCTCTGTACATCTTATTGGCAATTATCTCCTCTTTGGCAGATAATATTTGTATAATATTTGAGTACAGTTTATCGCCAATAAGGGAACCACATTAAAAGTTTTCAAAGGTTCCTACAGAAATAAACAACTGCATTACAAATATGTTCCCATCTCTCCCAGGAGCCTCATACAGAGAGAGGATGTTTGGGTTAATGTTGTATTCCCAATACGTAGGTAAGCATGCAAACTATACTAACTGCCCACCATAACTGAAAATGGCAGAGCCTCACAGCAGCCTACTCAAGCCCCCCTTTCCCTTCCTCCCCAGGTAACAGAGCCCCAGTTCCATTCAGAGCACCAGTGAGGCAGCTCAAAGGCTGTGTTCGCAGCGCCCTCACGACTAAGTTGTGGCCAGTGAGATGCGAGCAAATACCGCGTGGGCTTTCCGGGACGGCCCCTTAAAAGGGGCACTCTATTTCTTCTTTTTCTCTTCCCTCATCCTCTCTTCCTTCTTACTGACCCAGGTACCAACACAAAGACGGGAGCCCTGGCAGCCACCGCGGACTGCGAAGCTCCACAACAAAGCAGAAGGTGGCAGCCGTGTGAAGCCTTTCCCCACAGAGCCCGCGGTGCCCGACCGCCCAGCTTCTTTCACTTAAGGACATCATCCTCGCGTGTTCAAAGCGTCCCAGTGGGGTCTCTTACAACCAAATCCAATTCCTAAGTGATACAGCAGCTGGCTGTCCCTGAGAACAGTTTATCGCCAATAAGGGGACCACATGAGAAGTTTTCAACGGTTCATAAAAGTAAGCGAAATCTGCCCTGGCCAGTGTGGCTCAGTTGGTTGGAGTGTTGTCCTGTCCTGTAGACTGAAAGGACTAAGGTTTGATTTCTGGCTGGGAGGCAAATGATCAATGTTTCTCTTTCTCCCTTCCCCTCTCTCTAAAAATCAATCAACATGTCCTTTGGCAAGGATTAAAAAAAAACACACACCAGTAAGCAAAATTTAATTAAGGTGTGCATTGGCTACGGGGTCTTTATGGAAACTACGGCTTGGTGAGGAGATGAGAGGATTTCCTTTTTCTTTTTTTTCTTTCCACTTTTAGGGGTTTGAGGAAAAGTTCCTCTTGCCCAAGCAATCGGTTCTCCTAATTATGCTTAACATTCACACATATAACTAACTCATACCCCAGGAAAAGAACTTGATTATACCCAGATTTTCAGTATTCATTTGTACAAGTTCATTCATCTAAAGATGCTTAATATCTCTGTTAATGAACACCTTCACAATCAACTTTTTCAACCAGAATAAGTGCTAAAGAAGCTTTTAAAATGTATAAACTTCTCCTAAAGTTGGCCTACTACTCAGAAGACCAATTAATGAAGGCCAGTTAATGAGTTTCACTGTACTAATAAAATACCAACTACAGTGAGACAGTCTTTGTAACAGAAATTAAAGAGAAAACAACTAAGAGTGTTTTGATTTGTGGTGATCATAACACAGATTTGGCAAATGACTAGAATGGATTTTATAGAAGCATGTGTGAAATTAAGAATCTATATGTTACAGTCTTGAATTTTTAGAAGGGTCTAAAACTATTACCCGAAAAAACTATTACCTTAAAAACTATTACTCTAAAACATAAAAGAATTTACCTTTTGTGTTTAGGAAAAAAGTCTGTGGTTGGTAGATAGGAATGTCCCAGTTGAGTAGTATGTATGTATACTGTTTACAGTGACACAATGAACTGCTGACACAAATTAAATCTTTAACTTTGTTTAAAGGTGCAACAACTGACAATCAGCCATCAAACCCTCTAAAGAACACCTCACAATTCTCGGGAGACAATGTGGAAACAGCGCTGTAGAGGAGCATAAGCATTCTCCCACGATAGTTAAACCCATTTACATCAATTTCACCACCATTAATTTGGCCTGCTGCTTAAATTTTAACTTTATGTGGTTCTAATGAACATTCTTCCAGAAAATATTTTTAAAAGACAAGAGCAGCTACTGATTTCCAATTTTGTATAATTTCTCCTTTATCCCCTAAGGAGTCCATAAAATTATTAAGAACCACCTATACTTAAAAATAAGGATTGCCCAGCTGGTGTGGCTCAGTTGGTTGAGGGTCATCACTTGCACCAAGAGGTCACCAGTTCTATTCCTGGTCAGCACACATGCCTGGGTTTCGGGCTTAATCCCCAGTAGGGGGCGTGAAGGAAACAGCAGATCGATGTTTCTCTCTCTCTCTCTCTCCCTCTCCCTTCCTCTAAAATCAATAAAAACATATTTTTTTTAAAAAAACAGTGTAAGTATTTTCTAGTTGGAAAAGCATTTTAGGAATTAGAATGAGCATAAAGAAAGGGGGCAGAATAGCTACCATGAATAAACTGTTCTTTGTGTAGTTCATTTCTCTTAAATAGAATTGAAAAAATACAAGCTGCTTTTTTATTTTGTTTATGTTTGCAAGAATTCACTTTAGTATCTTTGTATAAAAACCCTCATCACCTTCACAGAGGCATGAGGCCATACCTTTATAGATCCTAGAATAGAATACTTAACAGTCCTAACCCGGGCAGTAAAAGAATTTTCCTGTACACTTAGTAGGAGATACCCCCACCTTTATCAGGGAGTCACCTGGAGGCAAAACCAAAGCTTGAGAGATCTGGTTCCTGCTTTGGAACTACAAGGATAAGCAGCAGAAGCAGAGCAAGCTGAAGCAGGAAGCAATCTTACCTGTACCATTGAGTGTAGTGTTTTTATTTGTGTAAAGCCTGATCATATGTCCTATTGTTTTCACATTTTCTCTCAACATTATTCCTCGAGCTTGTACCATAAAGAGGTATGTGTTGGCTACAAAAGGAAAAGAGAGAGAGAATATCATGACTCAGGAGGCTTTCTTGTTAAATTTAACAAAATATTCAGAGTTGGGGAACTGCCCAATAAAGCCACACTGACTTCATTAGCACGTCCGAAGAGAAAGTAGAAATATAAAATAACTATTTCTCATTATCGAAAACTTACCCAAACACTGCTTTTTAAAAATAAAAATGAAAAAAAAATTAATGTAGTGATATCCATCAGACTAAGACCAAATGAACAACCTGAAATATCATAATGAATTCTGTTATCCATAAATGACTTTCTACTATAAAACATACTTAGAAATTTCAGAGGCATTTTATTACAAATATGCTATCATATAGTTTAAAAATGTACTTTCTCCAATTCTATATGATTTCCTTCAAACCAAAAACCCCACAAAAGCAAGGACTCCCATCTAATTCTAAATGTATCGTAAATCACTGCAATATCTCGTGTGGATATGGAGTTTGCAAATTCTCAACGTGCTGGGGCAGGATTACCTAGGATCAATATCTACTTTGATCATTTCTCTCTACAGTTAATTACTTGAGCTTTTTTGCACTCCCTTTGAATCGCGTATCTATCCACCAGGATTGTAAAAGCAAGACAAAATCAAAATCAATGTGCATCTCAAAGTTGGTCAATTTAATTCTTTGTGGTAAGCGCTTTAAAAATAGGCCCCTAATTTCTTCCTTTGGGAGAAACTAGTAAACTGGCAAAGATTACAAAAAAATCCCTGCCTTTTGAGATGCCACGTCTCCTTAGAGAGGCACAGGACTAAAGTCAAGAGATCCTTTCCCTCCCGGTGCTGATTCTGCTGGCACAGTGCACAACTTTAGACAGCTTACAGGATCTGTTTCTTCATCTCAAAAAGGCAATATTGCCCTAGATGTTCTCTGAAGCCCCTTCTACTCTAAATGATGCAAGCATAAAGCCCAAACATCATAAATTCCAATCAGATAAGAGAAGGAGGCTCATTATCAAGGAAAAACCAAGAAAGTACAAGGCTCAGCTAATGACCCTTTCAATTTTAAGATAAGCTGCCTCTGAACACAGCCACAACACTCTCGAAAGAATGAATGCCAAATGGAAAAAACGGAAAATGCCAACTCAGTTTCTGGGCCCTGTTCTACTTCCTCAAGATAGTAGAGACAGATGAGCTAAATGTATTGTTTACTCCCTCCTTTCCCATTTTTTATATAAACCTGAACCTGCTCAAAGTACAAATGGGCAGAGAGCAAATGAAACTAGTATAGAAACAGAGTAAAATAATACTTTTCCTTTCACCTTCGATTCATAAAAGAGAAACAGGAATCCAGACTTCGCATAAGCTTTACCTCAATCATTTTTAAGAGCATGTCTACGATCCTCTCTAGAAAGCAGTCCTATAATTAGATTTGACTTGTTTAGGCTTGAATTTATTATACTGGGTTACAAACACCACATGTTTTGATTATGTTTTTGCTCTTGAGTGGACTTTAAAAAGAAAAAGAAAAAGAAAAAAAAGACAAAGTGAAAACCAAAGACAGAAAAAAGGGCCACCAAAAATGTGGAAAATGTTTAATAAAAGCCAAACTAACCTTAGCCACTCTACCTAAACCAAGATCTCAAGTTCAACTGAAATGATGCAGGGGAAAAAAAACACATCAAACAGATGACTAACACCAATTGGTTTACAACACCTTGGATCATTTAATCCTAAGGTATACGCAAAACTTACCAGTGTTAACAAGGATATGATATCCTTCTTACAATATCTGTTCTGCACCGAACTGTAAAAAGACCAGTCATAGAGTAGCAGAACTGAGCCAAGCGGTAAGCCATGGCCAATAATGTTACCCAGACTTCAGAAAGCAGTACTGGCCTACTCAATGATATCCTAGGTAAGAACTTATGTGCATTATTGTGTGTCCTGGAAACAGAATTTTTAAAAACTATATAGCTTTTACTTTTAATTAACATACCTAGTTGCATAAAGAAAATTGTTTGACATCTTGAAACCAAGTCAAATTTAAGTAGCAAAGGAAAGATCTGGGATAGAAAATAGTCAAATTTTCCTAAAAACTTTCAAAATACCAGGTAACAAAACTGTTTAAAAAAAAAATCACTGATGGCACCTGGGACAAAGGTGAAACATTTACCCAAAGAATATAGTTACTATTCATTAGATCAGTGTGAGAAAAAATAAAGATAACAACCTCTCCAAATGGAAAATCTATTTATTTTAAATCATGTACGGCTAATTGAGTTACATTCCTTAGGTTAATGGTCCTCATGGGTTTAATCCCTAAAAATCAAAACCCATTAAGAAATGAAGCTGTGGTTAAACAGAGAGTCCTGCTAACAGGGAGGAAGCGATGTGTCAAAGTGCTGCTAGTCACACTAAGCCAGCAGGAAAATGTTTAAATCATCTGATTTCCAAACATCATAAAACGAAGTTAATCCACACTCAAATAACCATATGCCTAATTACCCTTAATATAAAATGTAATGTCTGATTGGCAAGCCAATAAGTTGGAGGAAATCTTTGTCTAAAATTTCTATTCCAACTTACAAGAAACTACATCTCAAAAACAAATCAACAAATCTTTCTCAGCCTTGTCCTTCGGTCTCAACACAACCACAAATACACTAAAAACTACTCTTGCTTAATTAAAACCATGCTGTGTTCTCTAATTTAGTTCATTTGCTATTTGCCTTTGCATGGTGAGACAGAAATTTAACTTGTTTACCATTCTGCTTTCCAGGGGAAGAAAAACTATGACAACTTAAAAAAAACACACACACACTTCAAAAATCAACAGTTTACAACAGCTTCTAGGCGTCCTACCCTGGGTCTGTATGGAAAGAGATTATGAACTTGTCTCACTCTCAATTTAACAAAACTAAGGAACGCACTGGCTAGTACCGTCTCCCTATCCCTTTCCACATCCAGCTTTGTTCAGTGAAAGTACTCAAGCCAAGAATATGCCCGTCTACAGTGACCTGGAGGGGCTTCCTGAGCTCTGAGGGACTCACACACAGTGACCCTCTAAGCCCGATGTCCACGTTCCTAGCCACTAGGACACACAGCCGCAGGTCCCTTAACAAGAAGTCAGTCACGTCAAGATCTGATTTTGAGGGAGGCTGTTCGTGTTGGTCAGGTATTTGGGCATGCAGTTATAAAATTTAAAGTGTAGGACTGGAGCTAAGAAAGAGGCGCTAGAAATAGAATTTGGGGAGACACTCGTATAAAAGTAAAAGCGGGAACTATGGTGGTGAGTTACCACAGGAAAAATTATCGAGAAAGGAGGTAAGAAGGTGAAGTTCAGATGTGGATGTGGAGACAAACCACAATAAATTAGTCTGAAGATGAACAGTGAAGAAGGAAGGGTTTGATTCCAGGTCAAGGCACACATCTGGATTGCGGGTTCGACCCCTGGTGGGAGTGAGGGAGGCAACTGAGCAGTGTTTCTCTGTTTCTCTCTCTCTCTCTCTCTCTCCCTCTCTTTCATCAATGAGATCATCCTGGATTATCTGGGTGGGCCCTAAATCCAGAGACAAGTGCTCAGACAAGAAAAAGGCAGAGGGAGACTTTACACACACACAGGCACGGGAGAAAGCAATGAGGCGATGGAGGAAGAAACTGGAGTGATGTGGCCTAGGAAGCCAAGAAACGCCAACAGGCACCTTGAAACTGGAGGGAGGGAAGGATTCTTTTCTAGAGCCTTCAGAACTGTGAGATGATAAATTTGTTGTTTTAAGCCACTCAGTGTGTGGAGATGTGTGGCAGCCCTAAGAAACGAACAGCACTCCAGGATATAGTCACAACTTTCCCCAGTATAAGATCAAAAAAGTGACATAGGTACAATTAAAAAATCAGGATTCAAGCAAAGGTCTGAGTGACTCTGGGGGCCAGCAAGTTGGAAGAAGAAATGGGTGAAAGTCATAAAGGAGAGGGAGGGACAAAGGAAAAGAAAACTCTTCAATGTAAACAGTTACAAGGGAAGTGACAATGGGAGGGATAAACCAGATGTCCACTAATGCAAGGAGGAAGTCAGGGGGGCCCTTAAAGTTACAAGAGAGAAAACGGTTTCCCATATTATCTACAGAACACATAAGGAAATAAACAATAGGGGAAAAAGCAAAATACCACTTACCTACGCCCCTTGTTGTTAACTACAGCTATGCAAATCAGGTATCTCTGAATTTCTAAGAACTCACAATAATCTTTTAAATATCTAGTTCAGAAGCTTAAAGGTTTTCTTCTTACCACATCTAGCCCCTTTTCAACAAATTTCCAGAAATTACTCATCCAAGTTCATAAAGCTAGATATATTTTCTCCAATAATAATGTTATAAACCCCAGGATTAAATCAGACTATACAGGAAATACCGCGCTTGGGTTAAGCCATTAAATATTATTCAAAAACATGATTTTAAATAATTTTTATTTGGACATTATTTCAAAGTTTTTAATGGGACAAAAATAAAATAGTACAAAGAAAAAAATAATAATAAATAAATAACTTCTAGGCTGTGCCAGGCTACAAAACAAACAATTCACTTTATGTCCAAGTACTATTTAAACAGTATCTTACTATGGTAATAATAATTCAGTCAGGTATGGGCTCAAGGAAATACGCAGTGCAAATAATTACCAACCTACAATCTCCTCCTCCTCATCTTTAGAGCAAGCCATGGGCTGACCAGTGAAAAGAGAATGAAAGAATTCTGTGTTCACCATCCCATTTGATCAAGCAATCACATACAGTACATACGTAGGTCAGAACTTAGCCAGCAGCTCAAGCTTTGATGATGTAGACACTAAAAATTAACAAGATATTCTTTACAACAGGTGTTTTGCCAATTGCACTCTGCAGCTTAACAGTTTTAAGTTATTTCTAGAGATTATTTGTGTTTGAGTACAGATCAAGGTGAAATATTTTTAAATAAAATTTGAGCCTGGCTGGGCGGCTCATTTGGTTGGAGCATTGTCTCATGCACCA